GAAAATAAAGATCTAGAAGAAGCCATTTTAGTTGAAGAAGATCAAATTGATTGGTGGTCACGATTTTATGAATCTTTAAAATATATCCAGCGTATACAAGCAAAAGTTATAGAAACAATGAAAAACTCAAAAACAAAAAATAATGAGGTCATTCTAGAAATGGAACATGAAAAAGAATTTTTAGGCTCAGATATGATGAAAATGGGTAACCCTAAAATTGTTCGACTTAAGGTTATTTTATTATTAATATATATTTTTTAGTATACTACATATATTTGTCTACATAACACAACTATTTTTCTTTGCTTAAAATAACATTTACTTTGCATAACTATTTTAGTCTTTAAATTTAGATATATGACACAGAACTTGAGAAAATTAAGGATTTTGATCAGTTCTGTGATGTATTTCAGTCTTGGAATTTATATACAGGGAAAAGTGATGGAAATGATGATGATGATGAACGTAGAATTTGCGGAAAGTTCAAGGTTAGTATTAGCTCTTATTTATTAAAGTTAGTAATTAATTAGTTATTAATTAATAATTACATTAAAGTTACTAGACATCTTTTTCACATTTTCAAAACAAAATATTTTGACTGTAGAATAGGCTTTGCATTAAATAATAAATAATGACCATAGTACACATAACTTCTGTACATACATCAGTTGATGGATGAGGGTTGAGCAGATATTACATTTGTAAGACTTATATTATAGAAAAATATTTTATGCTGACAAGATGGAACTATAAATGTACTTAAAAAGATAAACTCTCTAATCAATTTCCTATTACGACAATAGTAATAGGATTTTGATTAGAGAGTTAGTTAGTTAAGTGCAAAAAAAAGGATGAAAATAAAGTGCAAAAAAAGAGATAAAATAAAAAAAGTTAAGTAGTTGCTGTTTAAACCTTTTGACTTTTGGCTTTCATCAATTTGCCAATTTGCCAGGCTTTCATCAATTTGCCATATGCAAGTTTTCCTTAATTTTCTGTTCCTTACTTTAAAACTTACTTTAAGAAGAATCGAAAATAGAAAAGCATTCCTATTATTTCTTGACAAATTTATTTATTAAATGATGAAAAATGTAAGTTTTATTATTTTCTTTGAAATGCTCATCAATATTTTGGAAAAAGTTTCAGAAAGTTTGTTCTCTAAACTAACCAAGTTTATGATTTTAAAAACAATGTTTAATTTAGGCTAAAAGTCTCTTATAAGAATTTTAAAAAGTTATTCAAACACATAACACTTTGTAAAAAATTATTATTTTTATTTCATTCCTGGCTTTTGTGACTATAACAGTTATAATTTGTAATTTTTGTATTTTGGATAAGGTATTTGTATTTTTTTATTTAGTATTATTTTATTATTTTTTGTATTTTGGATAAGGTAATTTTTGTATTTTGGATAAGGTAATTCATATTGAAAACTAAGCTTTCTTCTAGAATATTTTTGAACTTCTAGAATTGTCTATAAGATTCACGAATTTTGACAGGAGACTTGAACCAACTTTTTACCTTGTGTTGTAAGTGAATAAAGAATGAAATGTATTTTAAAAGCATTTAAATTGAATATTGTTTGCATCCAGCAGATAATGTTTGCAACATGTTGCATCCAGTTATTCAACATGTTGCATCCAGCAGATGCTTTTTGCTAAATAATGATAATTTTAAAAAGCATGATCAAAAATGTATTTTGTAGTACCAATGTGTAAGGTATGCTTTTCTGCATATATGTGGCTGGTTTTTGAGGTCATTGTTTTCTGCAAATATGAGGCTATTGCGGTATCACATGTAATCAGAGTGATTGGCAGTTATTTATAGGTAGTTCATCTGAAGCCTCAAAGATGTTTTGCTTTACAAAAGCTACCTGTCCATTCAAATGGCTCATTAAGTGACTTGAAGTATGACAAAAAAAAAAAACAGAGATCGTTATAGACTTAAATGATGCATGCTGTTATCCCTTATGAATGACACATGATGTCATTCCTCATGGGTCTTTAACATAGTTTCACAAAACTTCTTTGACAAAAATCATAATCTTTCACACTAATCTTGATATATTTAAGGAGAACGTGGGAGGTTATTTATGGGAGGAATTAAATAAATATTTTTTTAGAACTGATTGAATTTTCGATAAGACTTTATCACTACATTCTTTATCACTACATTCTTTATCACTACATTCTTTATCACTACTTTCTTTATCACTACATTCTTTATCACTACATTCTTTATCACTACATTCTTTATCACTACATTCTTTATCACTACATTCTCTATCACTACATTCTTTATTTTTTTCATCTGGACAAGAACTAAATGGACAATCCATGTATTTTTCAACAAGACAACGATTCTAAACATAGATCAAATTTATGAATTAAAGAACTAACATAATGGATGCCCCCTTCTTTCCCCCTTCATTCACTGGATTGTAATCCAATTGAGTTTGAGATTGAGTTTCCAATGAGATGAACTAGACAAAAATGTTATTTAA